TGGTGATGAGCCCCAGCCTGTCCAAGATTAACTAACCGTCAATGGAATATTGAGTAAGATACTGTTGTTGTTAGGGATCTTACCAGTTGGTTCTGACCCATAGCGACCCTATGAACAAGAGAAAGAAACATTGCCTGGCCCTGAGCCATCCTGACAATTGTTCCTATGCCTGAGCCTGTTGTTGCAGCCACTGTGGTCATTAATCTCCTGGCGGGTCTTTCTCTTTTCCATGTCCTCTAGCAAACACGATGTCCTTTTCCAGGGACTGGTCTCTCTTGATGTTAGCTAAAGGAAACGGGCAAAGGGGAAAAAGGGGTGAGGAATGTCAGGAATCCTAAGACAAAATGGAGATGGAGCCAAGTTTCCTCTCATACTTCTCCAGCACACAGGAAGATGAAGGGCAATTAAGATAGCTCCAAATCTTCAATGGAACAGACTGGAGATGGTGAAAAGTCTGGGTGGAGAAAGATAGGATGTTCACACTACCCTCACGGTGGCTGAGTCGATTCTTGGGTCTGGGGTCTGGAGACATGGCCTGAAATCTGGGTTGCAGAAGTACAAGTACCTAAACTTCGAGCGTCCTCCCAATAATAATATTTAACTTCCTTAAACAGAAATATTATCTGAAAAATGGAGTAATAGAACTTACTGAGAGATAGGAGATTGAATGCACACAGGCTGCAGAGTGGGGCAAAGAGGCCTGTTGGTAGGAAGCATTGGGAGTGACAGGCCATCAGGGAGAGTGATCTCCACAGTTTAGGACAATCTCATCTTAAATCTGTGGCATAAGAACCATAGGCTGATCCTATACTCCAGGCTCATCAAATCCAAGACTCTTTACTGACCTTTGCATATGCACTTCCTTGTTCATGCCCCAGGAAGACCCAGCCGAGGGGAGAGCAAGTCCGGGGGTGAGACAGAGGACCAGTTTGGGGACTGGTCCATTCATAACCAGAGGTACACACAGACCAACTACCCCACATCTGATTAAAACCCCCTAGACACCCCACATCTCATTAAAGACCCCTAGACATAGCAATTGAGTCCCCACCTGCTGTGTCAGGTCTTTCCTTTCCAAATGATAAATCATTCAGATGGGGTAGACCATCAGTCCAAGGCCATAATAGTGTCCAAAAATTCACTGCCACTGGGTGACAGCGAGTTGGATTTTACTACCACTCCCGAGTCAACTCAAGAGAGGTCACCTGCACCCTCAGGGACTTGCATGGTTGTGCCCTTGATGGGCATGAGGCACTAGGGACACACAGTCATGAGTTGTACCCTGACTGCCTTTGTTTCCCATGTCCCGTTTAAAGTGTAAACTCTGTTTCTGCTTGTTGTAGGAGCCCTGCTGGCATAGTGAGCCGGAATGTTGGGAGAGCTAGAGGTTCCCTATGAATCCAAATTGACTTAATGGCAGAGTGTGATCTTTGGATGGAAATTTCATTCGTGTAACACATCCTAGGGTGGCCTTCGAGGTGTGTGAACCATGCTGCTTTTGTGAGAACTTTAAAGTCTCATCCCCACCCCTAGCCCTGAGGTGGAGAGTGGAGTCTGGCCATGTGGTGTCTTTTCCTTTTTCTCTGGGTACCTAAGGGCAAATTTCAAGTGTGAGTCAGAATCCACTGGCTGACAAAGAGCTTTGTGTTTTGTTTTCTTGATTTTGTCTGCTGAGTAGTTGGTTGGTTTGAAATGCCAATCTTCTTAGAGTAGCTGACCACTTCAACTACTTTGCCAGCAGGACTCCTCCTAAGAATTGAAAATATTTTGCAATTGTTTTTAAAGATTGACAGATTCCTTTGCAATCTATACAAGAAGATCAGATTTAAACCTCTGACTGTAAAATACAAAGGAAATCCTGTGCCATCAAGGTGATTCTAATCCTATATAGGGTTTCCAAAGCTACAAACGGTTCTGCGGGGAAGCAGCTGGCGGAGTTGATCCACTGCCAGTGTTCTTAGCAGTCCAACACTTAACATGACAGTGCCACCAGGGCTCCTGGCTATACAATAGGATGAGCGTGGCAAGTAAAGAGATCATAAAGATGGTGTTGTGTAGTATTAAATTAAATTTAGAGTGGGGGGGGATGAGGGGCCAGCTCCCACCGCTACTACTACCCACGGGTTCAGTAAGCACAATTGTACGGTTGAGATATATAAATATTATATTAAAGTCATTGAGAGCATGAGAGATATTACAATAATGCAGTCAGACACATTACATGGTAGCATTGCTCACCTCAGCCCCGCTTGGTGGTCCTCGTGGGGGGAA